TCTAAATAAATCACATCAGTCTTTCAATATCTATCTAAATAAATCACAGCGGTCCAACATCTGTCTCAAATTAAATCACAGAACTTTTATCAACATGTGTTTAAACAAAATCAGATTAACAACATCCAAAAATATCCACCAGGTAGAAATAAACATCACAATAAAAACACATATTTAACATTAACATAAGATCTTAGTAACTGGGTCATGGTGATTTGTTGACCTGACCTCGGAATAGAACCCGAGTCTCCATACTAAAAGAAAGGATTTGGTGAGGTCAAGTTAAGGGGGTAGGTTAGGTTAAAGGTTAAGTTAGGGGGGTAGGTTAGGTTAAAGGTTAAGTTAGGGGGTTAGGTTAGGTTAAAGGTAAAGTTAGAGGGGTAGGTTAGGTTAAAGGTTAAGTTAGGGGGTAGGTTAGGTTAAAAGGTGAAGTTGGGGGTGAGTAAGGTTAAGTTGGGGTGGGTAAGGTTAAGTTGGGGGTGGAGTAAGGTTAAGTTAGGGGTTGGTAGGTTAATTTAGGGGTAGATTAGTTGAGGTTAAGTTAGGGTTGGGTTAAAAGGTTAAGTTAGGGGGGTGGAGTTGGGTTAAAGACTAAGTTGGGAGTGGGTTGGAGTTAAGGTGAAGTTAGGGGTGAGTTGGGTTAAGGTTTGAAGTTAGAGGGGGTAGGTTGGGTTAGGTTAGAAGTTGGGAGGTGAGTGGGTTAGGATTAGGGGTGGGTTAGGTTAAGTTGGGGGTAGGTTGGGGATTCAGGGTTGGGTTAAAGGTTAAGTTGGGGGTGGGTTGGGTTCTGGGGATTGCAAGTTGGAGGATTGGGTTAAAGGTTGGGATTGAAGTTGGGTTGGGTTGAGGATTGGGGTTAGAGGGGTAGGTTAGGTTAAAGGTTAAGTTAGAGGGGTAGGTTAGGTTAGGGGGGTAGGTTAGGTTAAAGGTTAAGTTAAAGGGGTAGGTTAGGTTAAAGGTTAAGTTAGGGGGGTAGGTTAGGTTAGAGGTTAAGGGTTAACTTTGGTTAGTTTAGTGTCTGGGGTTAGAGAGTAAGGTAAGGTTAAGTTAGGTTAAAGGGTAGTAGTATAAGGTTAGGTTGGGATTGAGTTATGTTAGGTTAAAGATATGATTAGGTTATGTTAGATTAAAGGTAGAATTAGATTAGGTTAGATTTTAGGTTTAGGTTAGGTTACGTTATATTAGGTTAGGATAGTTCTAAATATGGCGTAATTCCTTAATTGTACGGCCAAAGTCACCCAAGTTTAATAATTATAATCAACAACATCAACTACAGTCTCCTCTTACCTTCCTATAGAGGCTGTGCCAATAAAGAAGAAATATACTGTATGTAAATAAACAAATATCAGATCACGTGAATATTTTGCACTTCCGCTCATTTCACCTGGTTATTAAACACTCTAGCATTAACCTAATCCATCCTAACCTAATCTAACCTAATCTAACCTAACCAAATTTCACCTAACCTAACCAAATTTAACCTAACCAAACCTAATCTAACCTAACCTAGTCCCCAGGCAGCTTTAAGTTGTTAAATCGCCAAATGAAATAAGTTTGGGGGGATAACTATCACATGACCCGAAATATCCCATTAAACAGTCAAAAATATTCACCTCTTAATCTCAAATAAATAAAAAAATCCTCCTCAACTCAAGGATGACCCATACACAAAATCTCAAGATGGTGGGAGGTGAGGAACTTGGAGTTATGTTAAGGACACTAGATTTAGGTTGACGGACGGATGGACAGACGCACTCACACTATATACAACGTCTTGACTCTGGCTGCCGTGTAGAGTTCATGACCCGTCGACACTGATAAAGGCTGGCTCAACTCTCACCCCCCCACTCAACTCCACCTCTCACCCTCACCTCTCCCGTACACCCCCTCAATCTCACTTACTCCCTCCCTCTCTCTCATCTCCGCCCTCTCATTCTCACCTTCTCCCACCCTCTCACCTTCCCTTCCTTCACCCCCTCCCTCCTCACCTCTCACCCCACTCCTTCACCCCCACCAGCAGTAGTGTGGCAGTAATCGTTATAACATTAGTATAAGAGGTCGCTGCCACATACCAGCCATGGACCACTTTACCCTCAGATCAATAAGACGCTATAATCACTGTGTACCTGTAATCACTGTAATCACTGAATACCTACATTAAGTCTCACCTGACGTTTCTAAATGAACTTTCTGTAAATTTAACTGTACCTGTATTTATGTATTTCTAAGGTAATGGAAATTTTAGATCAGGTGAATGTTATGAACAATATAATTTATTTGATTTGATTATTTAGGCACCAAGGATTATTTCACCTGATAATTAAATACTCTAGTGATATTTGGGTTGGGTTGGGTTAGGTTAGGTTAGGTCAGGTTAAGTTTCTATTAGGTTAGATTAGGTCAAGTTAGGTTAGGTTATGTTACGTTAGGTTATGTTAACGTTAGGTTACGTTAGGTTATGTTAATGTTAGAATAGGCAAACTTAAAGACGGGGACAGTGAACAGTGCCAGCTTAGAGACGAGAACAGTGAACAGTGCCAGTTTAGAGACGAGAACAATGAACAGTGCCAGCTTAGAGACGAGAACAATGAACAGTGCCAGCTTAGAAATGGAAACAGTGAACAGTGCCAGCTTAGAGACGAGAACAGTGAACAGTGTCAGCTTACAAGAACAGCGACCAGTGCCAGCATAGAGATGGAAACAGTGAACAGTGCCAGCTTAGAGACGAGAACAGTGAACAGGGCAAACTTAGAGACGGGAACGGTGAACAGTGCCAGCTTAGAGACGGGAACAGGGATCAGTGCCAGCTTAGAGACGGCAACAGTGAATAGTGTCAGCTTAGAGACGGGAACAGGGAACAGTGCCAGCTTAGAGACGGAAACAGTGAAAAGTGCCAGAGACGAGAACATGAACAGTAGCTTAGAGACGAGAACAGTGAACAGTGCCACTTAGAGACGGGAACAGTGAACAGTACCAGCTTAGAGACGGGAACAGTGAACAGTACCAGCTTAGAGACGGGAACAGTGAACAGTACCAGCTTAGAGACGGGAACAGTGAACAGTACTAGCTTAGAGACGGGAACAGTCAACAGTACCAGCTTAGAGACGGGAACAGTCAACAGTACCAGCTTAGAGACGGGAACAGTGAGCATTGCCAATTTAGAGACGGGAACAGTGAACAGTACCAGCTAAGAGACGGGAACAGGAAACAGTCCCAGCTTAGAGACGAAAACAGGGAACGGTGCCAGCTTAGAAACGAGAATAGTGAACAGTACCACAAACGAAGCTTTTAATTACGATGAAAAGGCAAGAGATTGATAGTTGGCTGCGGTCAACAGTGATTGTCGAGGCCTGGCCATGAGTTGAATTAAAAGTTAACCTGTGGGCGGATGTCGAGGTGGATGTAGGAGATGGATGTGGGAGGTGGAAAATGGATGTGGGATTTTCATGTGGGATGCGGAAAATGGGTGCACACACACACACACACACTATCGCACTAAATTTGTCCTCTTGATCCTGTCAGCGTGTGATTCTGTTCAGTATTTACCTTCCAGCCTTCTCTGGTATATAAAATAACACAGGTGAAATATTACGAGCATTAAACACAACCCTATAGGCGTTCCCACCCCCTTAACAATAACATACAGTATATATCATGATTTACAGCAGCAACGCCAGACGGTTCTTGGCTCGTCATTATACCGTTAGTGATAAGAGCATCAGTGGGCATGCGTACCTGGTGCTATAGGTAGAGAGGGGGTGGGTGGGTGGGTAGGGGAGAGCCATCCAGGTGAGACGGGGTTGGGGGATGGGGTAGTGGGGGGCAAAGAGTTACCTGGTGGCCCCTGACACTTACCACACACACACTCACCCCTCACACGTCACCCGCTCACGGACACCTCACGCGGCAACACCTCCCTCGCCTCGTCTCGCCTCCTCCTGGATCACGAACTTGAGATACACACTCGAGAATTTCCATAGGGACTTTAATATTTGATCCTTTTAAATGGCTTCTGGGAATATGACGTCGAACTCCATTTAAAGTGACTCCTTGTGACTACCGTATCAGGACTTATCATTTTAGTGAGTTTTAGTGAACCTGAGATGAGAATTATAAGTGACTCTACGTGAATAAAGGATCGAAGCTTCTGTGAATCCTCTTCAATAAGGGATCAGGATCAGAGGCCAGAGATCACAACACACGTGGTGGTGGTGGTGGTGGTTCTACAGCAGGCACGTGTGGAGAAGACCCGGTGTCGTGACTTTGCATCCTGACCTGGGGTGGTGTTGGTGACGTGAACTATTGTGCCGTTGATGTCATAATTCAGTGAGGCGCCGGAGCGTAACTTATCAGAGACATTCGTAAAGTGGCACTATAGGGGCGTGACGACCCACGAGCGACACTCTACTTACTGGCCCAGGTAAGACGTGTTGTGAGTCTTGTATCACTACCACAGTCAACTATGCATCAGTTGTTTAAATATAAAACTTGTATGATGTTCCTTGCAGCTATTAAAATATTATCTACGTGTACAAATTCTCGTTGGTATTAAGTAATGGCTAACATACAGTATACCGGTAATGAAGTTTACTGTGGGGGAGGATTTAAAGGTTGTCATCTGAGGTGTGTTAGACTGAACCTGGACCAGCCCTGAGAGAGCTCCTAGAGATGCCGTGTTGAGTTTCCATTGTCACCTTGAGTCTAGTCAAATTGTTACTAAAAATCAAAATTTTGGCCGAAATTGTTACATTTGGAGTCTACCAAGATTCATGGATTTTCCTTTAAAAACGTGTGTTTACACATCAGATCACACCAACTGCACGAGTTTCCGTTATAAGCCTCGGGAACGAATCATAGGAATGTGTGGTGTTTATGGTATCTGGGTCATGCAGTGTACAGTGACGATACATGTTTTGTTCTTGCTGCAGGCGTGATCAAACATGTTCTTCTCTTGTAACAAACACGATGAAACATGTTTTATCTCTCATTACAGACGTGATGACTGAGAGAGATGGCCGCGGGGGTGTGATGGCTGAGGCTGGGGGCAGCATGAGGCTAGGGGGGCTGTATCCCCGCTTCCACCCCAGCCTGTCGCCCTCCCCAGACCTCTACATGGACGCTCAGCCCCTTGACTTCTCCACAAAGAAAGGCAAGATGTCTCCAGTCACCTCCGGCAGCGACCACGGAGACCACAGCGACAGTGACCGCTGCAGCCTGACGGAGGATGGTTCTGGGGCACCCATCAGCCTCGTCCATGACCGTAAGATGTGGTCACGTTCTTCTGAGTCCGGCGTCTCCGTTACCAGTACCTCTCCTGAGCGTCCGCGGTCGCCAAGGTCTACCTGTGTCTCACCCATGGCCGTCAGCCCCGCCCGTCACCGTCACCATCCCCATCATCCCCACTACAACCCCCTCCACTACCAACACACTGCCGGCCACCTTTCCCACGCCACCGGCTTCAACCCCGCCCTTCTCTCCCACCTACATACCAACCCATTCCTCCTCTCCACCCTCCAGTCAGCACTCAAGTCCAAGGCCATGACGGCGCACCCCTTCAGGTCGTATCTGCCTCCACCCAGTCACTCCCCAACATCGGTGGACTTCTCTAGGTCCCCGTCTGCATCCGTCCACCCGTCGCCAAGCCCCAGTCTTCCTTTCACCTCTGGCAGTCTGGGTATGGGAGGTCTAGGGGCAAGTGGTCTCGGGGGAAGTGGTCTTGGGGGAGGCAGTCTCGGGGCAGGAAGCATGAGTGGCATCAATCTAGGTACAGAAACTCTTACTACCGAACCAGGAGTTCAGAGTTCACCAAACTTAACGTCGAATTTACTAGGAGGTTCCTATGACGGCTTGGGCGGCCTGGGTGGCGGACTGGGCGGCGGTTTGGGTGGTGCGAGAAGCAGAGCAGCGGATCTAATGAGTGGCACACAGGAGGAGCTGACCATCAACGCTGAGAGCAACGACGCTTACTCAAGGTTCCGGGATCAGATGCTGGTGCAGGTGACGGCGACTAAGGTTCGACGCTCCACCGGGCCTCGTAAACTTTCTTTGAGCGGCAGCTTCGACGCCTCCAAATTCGACAACATGTCCGAAAACGAGGAAACAAAGACTGATATGAACATTGATGTTTGTGGAATAACTGGTGAGGGCGGAGCAAGTGAGGAAGGCGAGGACTTGAAGGCGGACAATGATGGCGACGGAGGTGACGGAGGCGGGCGTGATACGTCCAACTTGGGCACGACCAGCATCATGAACTCCAAGAGACGCGGCCGACAGAACAGCGAGTGTGTGAAGGACGAGGCTTACTGGGAGAGGAGACGGAAAAACAACGAGGCCGCCAAGCGCTCCAGGGACGCCCGGAGAGCCAAAGAGGACGAGATCGCCATCCGCGCCGCCTTCCTCGAGCAAGAGAACCTGAAGCTGAGGGTAGAGGTCGCCTCCCTCAAGTCTGAAACTGCTAAACTGAGGTGTATGTTGTACAACAGCTGAGGGTTGACGCCCTCGACCACCCAACACTCAGCCTTGTGCTGGCCTCACACAGTGCCTTATACTACGATGTGATCATCACCTGATCTTCTTGACTTTACCTCTATGACACCTGTAATGGACGTCCTCGTGTTTACATGTGTTAGTGACCACAACCTTGTGAGTGACAGTTTATTTATTGAGGGCACAGTGTTACGTTAGTGTACTGTACAGTGTTGAGACGCTGCACCACCCTGAAACCTCCCTGCCAGTACAGATGACACCAACACGGTCAGCTGGAGTTAGGTGAACGTCGCCCACCACCTGCCCTGGTGTTTGATGGGTTGTGGGGGATGAACCCCACCTGCCAGTCCCCTCCCCTCCACATTAACCAACCAGACCTATTCACGTGCAGGCGCGCAAGAGCTGTGTGGTTATTCCTCTCCTAGACAACCCAGACCTGCAGCTGCATAACACTGCCTATACCTGATGTATGAAGTGTTCTGTTCTCATCCACACTGGCTGACGGTACGAGATAATTTTCACGGGTTTTGAGCAAGTTTTATGAGCAAAGACTAGCGCACACCGACTCATAATTATGTACACAGTTCAGCAAGTTTGTGTACACGGTTCAGTTTCCTTCTGAAGTAAGTGTGATAATAGTACTAATAATACGACACCCTGAGAAGTGAGTGGCGTAGCTGTTACACATACACTGGCCTCCACACCTCCAGCAGTAGCTCAGTAGAGTGTTGACAGAGATATATTATGGCAGGCGGCATCCATCACTGTAGTCTTATATTATTAGGTTAGGTTAAGTGAGACTGGCAACAGGAGCTGAAATATTAACATAATACTGCGGATTACCTGATTAAATTTAACCTGACATTGCAAACCTAAGCTCACCTAAGCTGATAATGTAAACAAACTTAACCTAACCAAACCTAACTTAACCTGACAATTCAAAAAACTTAAACTAATGAAACTTAATCTAACCCAACCTGACCTGACAGAGCAAACAAATATAACCTAACCTAACCTGACCAAATTTGATGATGCAGACAATCTTAACCTAACCTATCCTAATTAGCCCTAACCTAGCGTAATATCTCACCAAACCTAACCCAACCTACCCAAACCAAACCAAGCCAACCCTAACCTAACCTACTACAACGAAATCAAATCAAATTAAACAAAATTCCAACGTAATCAAATTAAAATTCACCCTTAAATAAAAAACTAACCTACCCATAACAGACGTAAACTTACACGATATAATCCCGGTTTGAAATAAATAAATAAATAAATAGATTCGATAAAATAGACAACAGAAGTCTAATTTGAAAGCCGTTTTTTTACTTAGCGTTACAACCCCCCCCCCCTTGCAGCTCATTGGCTAATACATAATGTTCGATTAAAGTTGATATATCACAGATAAATTTATATATACGTAACTGTTAAGGATGCCCAGTTCTAGCCTCATTCTAATGCCGAATTTAATGTATGTATAAACATAACTTCTTGAAAATATTAACTTTCAAGATATGAGTGGAAAATAAAGTTTAAAATGAAGAACATTTGCCGTCAGTCACAAACAAATCCACGCTTTCGGAGAAGGGGGAGTTTCTCAGCCTATTACTGTTAACGCGTTTTAGATGAACGAAATAGCTAACGCGTTAGCTATTCTGTCTGCGCAGACGCTTCAGCTTAATTGTGGGCCTGACGCCTTGAGAGGGAAAAGCAAACTCCTTGATCAGGCATTCGCGTGTGCAGCGCCCGAATAGCTTAACAACCAATCAACGAGTTTCTCCCACTGAAACAGTGTGTAAATACGCTGATCATGGCCATTTATGGAGAATATTTTTATTAATATTGAAGAGTTGGGGGCATGTAAGGCAATAAAAATCTGTGATACAACAATAAAAAATAATTCTATATACGGTAGTATATTGGATAGGACCTAAAACAAAGCGTACAGCGTGAAAAATTTTTTTAGAAGGATTACTCCTAGTTGAAACCTGTTTTGGCTCCGAAATAGGTGAACATTGGTTTGGAAATAGAGTAGTGGATGAATGGAACAAGTTACCAAACATCATTATTGACTCGAATGCGATGGATAGCTTCAAACATAGGTTGGATGGATATATGAGCAATAGGGGTTGGGTGTAAATGGGACTGCCCAGTATGGGCCAATAGGCCAGCTGCAGTTTCCCCCATTCTTACGTTCTTATGTATATTTTTAAGTGGGAGTTGTCCGCGTTCATTAGCCGTTGGTGACTTTGGTGTAACAATATTGATAATTACTCAAATATGAATGAAACTTCAATATCATTACTCATAAGATACTTTAAATAAGGATGAACAAGTTGATTACACATAGCCGCGAGAGAAGAAGCGAAGTGGAACAGCTTCTGTGGTTGTTACGTGTAAATTCAGAGTCCAGAGAAATTACCTTTACAGCGGCCCAATTTTGTGTTATTCTTATTTAGTGTTGACTGACTTTTTCTCCTTTTTTGCCCCTTTTTTTTCATAAATTTCTATATATTTTCTTCACTATTTCTTTCCGTATTGTGTCCAAATAACAGTTCTCCTAATTTTATTATTTTCTGATGACTGTGTTGTACAACAGTTATTCCCAAGACGCGGTACAATGTCGTATTTTTTAATGACAGGCCGGGAAAGCTAACGTGCTAGCTATTCCGTGCAGCTAAAACGCCTTAAAATAAATGTCTTTAGCTACAAAAAAAAACGACCATAGTAACATTTCAGAGTTGGATGCCGCTGTGTGTGTTTTTGTACGCTGTGATGCACCATTTTGTGTATTTGTTAACGTTAATTAAGTGACCAACACAACAATGACATCTAAACCTAGTACAAATTATCTTTAGGTAATAGCAGTTAATACCTCTATTTAACGGACATCATCAATCTAAACGGGTAATGTCCGTTATAAGAAGGTTTCACATCTAACGGAACTCGATATAGCGGACCACTCCCATACAGTATAGTCCGTTAGAGGATTTATATTCAACAGACCCCTATATAACGAACCAAACACCCCATATAGTCCATTAAATAGAGGTCTCCCAGTACTGTGTTAGAAAAATATATATTTATGGTTAAATACCTTGAGCTTTTATCCATAGAGAAAATGTCCATCGTGATTCTTTTGTTAATGAATTTAAATGTTTTGTTATCTAGTGCAGAGAACCTGGTGAACGGTGCTTAAACGACCCTGAATGGCGAACTGAATCATATGTATACAACAATAACAATGACGCATAACAATAACAATGACATATGACCCCCTTATACTGTCTCGTCCACAACACGTAAAAATACCTCAAATTTAATCAGTCTAGTCTTAAACTAAATATTTACCTCGTATTTATCGGAACTGCCTTAACAACCTTCTGACTAATTACAATGTCTTAACTGCTCCCCGAATATTATATAATGTCTTAACTCCTCTATGGCTAAATACAGTACACTCATGGCTAACTATCCCTCTGTCTAATTATACCATGTCTTAATTACACCCATGGCTAACAACCTACCGTCTAACTGCACCCATAGCTAACTCTACCTGTCACCCAGCAATCTCCAGACCAGCCAAAGGAGATTGTTTAAAATATTCTTCCTTTTTACAGCTGTTTAAAAATTACCCAACCAAATAATGACCTAATCACCATTAACAGTAGTACTTAACTACCACTAACCGCTAATATCGCCTTTAACCACTAGCTAACCACCACTAATTGATATTTAACCACCACTACCAATTTATACAGCCAGTAACCACTACTTTACCTCTTACGAACCATCATTAGTCACTTAACAGCCCATAACCACTAAATTACCACTTACTTAACCACCACTATTATTATTTATCCACTAACTTCTATAGCCAATAACCACTACTTTACCACTTACTAACCACCACTTCTAACTTCTATAACCACTAACTAACTACCACCACCACTAACAACTACTAACCACATTGTCCAGTATGACATAACAAAAAACCACAACAGTTGGGTTAATCAAGATGTCTTCTGGCTTAAGGTTGCCGACACACACATTTATACAGGATTTATAGATTGTCTTATTTTCATTTCAAAACAGAGATGTTATAAAATATCGAATATCTGTCCGAAATACAATAAATTATTAAATAAATGAATGTTGTTTTCAGTCCGGAAAACCGTGAGGGCAAACTTTTTCGGAGTGAGGGTTGTAAACTCTTGGAACAATCTACCAGAAAGTGTTGTGACGGCACCGAGTGTGAGCTCTTTCAAGAGAAGACTTGACCAACACTGGAGCGGGTTCAGGTACATTCAGGAGCCGGTGCATGCCCAGTATTTGCCAACAGTGCGTGACAGAGACGTGACCGATCGCCCGGGAGGCTAGCGAGCCGACCTTTTGGTGAAGAATATAAAGGAAAAGAGTCGTGACCGATCGCCCAAGCGGCTAACAAGCCGATCAGTGGCGAAGAGGATAAAAGTAAAAGTATCTGATGAGAGAGAGAAATATAGACAAAATACATTACATGAATAAATACAGAAACAGTAACGAATAACTAAATTTCTTCTGTTCAGAGATAAATAAACAATAAGTTTTCTTTTAAAAATACAAATACAAAAAAATACATTTCTCTTTTCTCGAAATTCACGAATAAAAAATAAATTATTTTAAAGTACAAACAAAAACAAGTGACATGAACAAAATTTTCTTCAGCTAAAATATGTAAAAATAAACCTTATACCTTTCTTCCACTGAAAAATAAACAAATACTTTTCTTCAGTCAAACGATGAAATAATGAATAAGAAATTAAATTGTCTCTCAAACCGTCACACTACTTCAAAGGCCAATAGAGATGTTCCCCGTCACGGCAAAAGAAATAAACAATCTATTCACCCTTTCCACTGACACAAATCTATATTTCTGTAAAGACCTCACACGTTCCTCACTCGGAAACGCATACAAGACTATCTATTGCAGCAAAGTTATCTCTTATTGCAGGAAATATATCTTATACTATATGTATATAATAGGAATATACACACACACATATACAGTATATATCAGAGGGTTACAACTCTCCCTAGCCAATAAAATATCCAGACCTTTTAAGAAGCCATTTACTCAACTAGGCTACATCAGAGTATATTGCACTACCAAAACATAACCATAATATATACCTCACTTAGAGCAGTCACGTTGTGTTGAATATACATTAGGTAAGAGAGAATGTACTGTACACATTTGTCAGGAATGAATTTATGCCAGGGTCAACTTTTCCACTCGATAATGTAAACAAGCATAACATCGTCTGCTATAACTTATTACATCTCAACATTGTACTTTGAATTTTCCTTAGTTTCTTCCCTAGTATTATAGAGGACGCTTAATTCAAATATTTTTTCCTTGTATCTTAAACGTCCATTTTGAGTTTCTTTTTCCCAGGATGGTTTTGAGATATTGTTTTGAAGTGTCCTATTTCCCGGTAATGTCTATAGAGGTTTATGCTTTTTTTTGTAGGATGGTCATCAAGTGTCCATTTTGAGTTTTCCCGGTGAAGCATGAACGTCTATTTTAGTATATTTTCAACTATTGTAATGTCTTGATGTCTTATTTTAATGTATTGTTCCACCTACTTTAGTAACTAGGCGGCTATTTCAGCATGTATTTCCCTATTGTAATGCCTAGACCTCTATTTGAATATATTATTCCGTATTATTGTAACTAGACGTTAATTTTAATTTATTTCTACTCATTATATTGTGTAGACGGCTATTTTTATTTTATTTTTCAGAATATTTTGCCCAATTGTTCATTATTTTTAAAGTAATCTTTAATTTAATATATTGTTCCTTGGCTTGCATTGTGATTTGCTATTTTTTTCCCACAATTAAGTGTTGGTAATGACCGACGCGTGTGAGTGTAGCGTGTGACCAACCATTGTGTAAATAAAACCGCCAAATATACAGTCTGTGCCAGTCAGCCAATACTTGTGTTTTATTTTCCCTTGGGAACTGAACTCTCAGTAGGGGGGGGGAAGGGGTCAGGGAGGGAGTGGGTGATGTCAACGAAGAATTCCTGAGCTCAACGACGCTACCTACACCATTTAACAATCATAAGTATCAAATACTGTAAGCAACAAATAAAGACATCAGACACACGCACGCACATACACCTAACAAACATACACACATAATGGTAATAATCTATCACGATAACCACCCCCCTACTGTTTGCTGATCAACCTTCCCCGAGCGGTTGTACGAGGGATCCGACTAACTGTAGCTCCTATCAGTAT